CAATGTGATGCAATCAAGATTACTTATGCACCTTCCAGGATCAACTGCGTATGGTTACCAGTATTAATGGCAGCGGTAGGAAGGCGTACAGGAGTTGCGTCGCCACCGACACCTGAGAGCGTCCTTCCCTTCCGACCCTGGAGTTGGGAATCTGGAGAAGAACCTGGGTAGTTGTGTGTTCTTTGGAGTGGCAAATAAGTCCAGATGTGATTGTCTGAACCTCCTGGAGATCTCCTCAAACAGAGCCGGATCCAGACGCCCTTGCGACTGATCCACCTTGGCTCTGCTCAGGGAGTCTCCCTGGAGATTTGTCTCCCCTGAGGTGTGTTCTGCTCTGATGGAACTCACATTTGTTTCTGCCCACCGAGCCATAGCTGATGCCTCCTGCATTAGTTCTGCGGATCGTGTTCCTCCCTCCTTGTTGACATGGGCCTTGGTCGCTATGTTGTCTGTTAGAACGAGAATGTGTCTTCTCGTTACTAGGTGGGAGAATTGCCGTAGAGCCAGGTGAATGGCCCGAAGCTCCAGCCAATTGATGTTGTGAGTAAGGTAATCCTGATTCCACTGGCCCTGCACTATCTGAGTTCCCAGATGGGCTCCCCATCCGAATAGGCCCGCGTCTGTCGTGAGCGTGATCCGGTTCGGTTCCCTGCATATACTCCCCCTGAGCATCATGGGGGATATCCACCAATTCAGTGATTTCAGTACATGTTTTGGTACCAAGACCCTCCTGATGGAGGTACTGAGGCTCCTCCTCTGATAGGAGAGGAGGAACCACTGCAACTCCCTTGAGAGAAGTCTTGCCCATGGGACAATGCCCATGCAAGATATCATCTTTCCCAGAAGCTTCGAGAGATGTATCAAAGGTACTCTCTTGTCCTTCTGAATTTGATGAGCCAGCTTGGAGATGCTGCTTCGACGTTCCTGGGAAAGATATACCCTGCACTGGGACAAGTCTATCACATCTCCTAGGTGCTGTAGCTTCCTTGAGGGAGTGAGGTGGCTCTTTTCTACATTGACTGAGAATCCGTGTTCCTGTAGACCGCGGATTGTGGTCTGGAGGTCTAATTTTGCTTGCCCCCGTGAGCTGGATTGGATCAAAATGTCGTCCAGATAAAACTGTACACGCACCGGCATCAGCCTGAGGTGGGCCGCTATTACTGCTAGAATTTTGGTAAATACCCTTGGGGCTGAGGATAGACCGAAGGGTAGTGCCCTGTATTGGTAATGCCGGTGTGCGTAGGTAAATCTGCGGAATTTTCAGTATTTGGGGTGGATGGGAATATGCAGGTACGCCTCTGTGAGATCTATTGAGGACAGGAGGTCGCCCTTCCTGACACTGGCTAAGATGTATTTCAGGGACTGCATTTTGAACCTCCTGCAAGTTCCATAACGATTCAGGCCCTTCGGGTCCAATATTGCTCTACACCCTCCTGATGTCTTTGGGATCACAAAGAGGATGGAATAAAATCCTCTTCCTTCCTCTCCCTGGTACCATTTCTATGGTCTGAATTGACAGGAGGTGTGCTATGGCCGAGGTAATCAACCTTGCCTTGTGTGTCCTTTTTGGAGATGGGACATCTGATGAATCGGTTTGGCGAGGAAGAACAAAAGTCTAAGGTCAGGCCATGCCTGATTGTCTCCAAGACCCAGGCGTCGGTAGTGGTCTGCTCCCAGACCTCGATGAACCTGGTTAACCGACCTCCTATGGGAGTGTTCTGTCTGGCGTCACTTGAAGCGTTTGAAGGGTTGGTCTCCCAATCCTCTAAAGGAACGCCTGGACTGAAAACTGGCCTCTGGCTCCCATGTTTGGGGGATCCTGGGAACGATCCTGTCTTGAATAGAAGGATCGTGAGCCTCTAGACCAGTCCCAGGATTGCCCTGATCGAAAGGGCTGTCTCCAGTCCCAGGAGTTACCTGGGCAGAAACTTTGCCTCCGGAATTCCTGACTGCCTCTCCTGTCTAATTTCTTTGATGGATGGACTAGGATTTTCCTCTTATCCCTACTCTCGCTTACATGTGGATCCGGAATGGATCCAAACAAAAATGACCCATTGTACTTGGACGTCGAAAGACGCCACTTGGCCTTCAGATCTGACTTCCGATTTTTAAGCCACAGTAGTCTGCGAGAGGCCACTGTGGCCGCAATGGATCTTGCCGCATACTTGGTTGCATGAAGTGTAGGCGTCAGCCCTAAATTGTGAGGCCGCCAGTATCTTGGCCAAAGTTTGGTGCGCTCTGACCTGATCTGGAGGTACAGTGGTTTGTAGCTCGCGAAGCCACCTTATGCACGCCCTGTTGAAGAATGATGTTGTTGCCGCCTTAGCCGCCCAGGCTGCGGCCATGTGGTAACGACAGAGGGAGTGCTCAAATTCCTTTTCCTCTGGTTTCAAGGCCTCCGCCATGTCCCCTGGAATCGCAGAAGTAGAAAATAATGAGATCAAGGGATTATCTATTGCGGGGACATCTAACATGCCCGCAAAGGAGGGGGAAACATTGAATAGTTTCCTTTCCACGCTATTATGTGCTGGTAGTATTGCTAGGGAAACCCATTGCTAGGGAAACCCATTGTTCCTCTACCGACGTGCGGAAAAACTCAGGACAAGGAATGTACTTGTCCTATGGAACTTTCTTGGCAAAGAGAGGGTTTGCCTCTTTGCTAGTAGAAAGATCTTCCTCCTGAACTGAGGTCAAATTGACCGTAGAGACTGCCTTTATCAGAAGTGATTTTAGAAGAGCTGGATCAAAGAGGCCAGAGCTTGTTGCCCGCTCATGAGCGGTGCCCTCATCCTCCGAGAGGGACCTATCAGACATGTCTAGGTCTAGTAAATCTCCCTCTCCAATTTGAGAGGAAGTCTCAAATTGTTTGTAGTCGGAGCCCTGCTTCGTCCCTTAAGGGATGGCTGAAAGGCTACTTGGCCCTTAGAAGCCATGAACTGGGAAAAGGCATCCTGCATGAATGCCTGAAATTGTGCAGACCATATGTCCTCCTGAGCTCTGTCCGTGGACGCAGCCACAATGGGAGTATGGTCTGGAGACTAGTTAGGTAAAGAAGAGTGGGAGGAGTCCAACTGTTCGGTTTCCCCCAGAGGAGACCAAGTTCTGAGAACCTCCTGGGGTTAGGTACTACGATAGGGGCCACCAATGGGGCAGGGGAAACCATGCTTGCCCCATTGGAACTGGTTTTCTGGGCCCTGGCAAATTGTCTCTCAAAGCCAAATGTCTCCTCGAGGCCTCTCGCTCAGCTGTTTTAGATGGGCCCCTTTGAGTCAGGGCTTTGTTTTAGCCTTCTTCTCCCCCCCCCACCTCAGATTCTGAGGATCTGCGTTTTTTGTTGTTGTTGTGGGGGGGGCGATTGGGGGCCCTGCGTAGCTGAATACGAGACATGTCTGCCATTGTGGCCAGGTATCCTGAGTAGGCAATACCTGGGGTGGGGAATGAATAGTACGCAGATCGGTTGCAGATAATTAAGACCTAGAAGGCCTATTCTGCCCAGAAGAAACAATGGCCGGACAGACAGGTCCTTTTGCAAGGAAGGATCCTGTGGGCCGGTGACTAAAGGTCACCTTGAAGAACAGTGGAACAGTTCAAACTTTTCTCCCCTCCCTTCACCAGGGTTGATTGCAATGGCACTAATATAAGGCCAAAGGTTTGCTAGTGCTGTGAGTATGAATTCCCCAATCTGTGGCTGTAAAGACAGTCCACCGGGTATGCTTATAAATGTCCTTCTACCTTTCCCTCTGCCTCTCTATCCCACACTCCTGTGGAAAACCTTCAAGTATATGAGCCCTTAATGGAGGCTATAAGAATACACCCAAAATGGAGGCTAAAGGAGGTGCACTCAAAATGGCGTCTGGGTGAAGGCCACACCCTCCTATTAACTACCAAAGAGATCCACGAGTCTCAAATGGCGGACTTGTCTCCAATGGTCACTCCGTTGGCTGAGGAGGCTTCTTTTTTGTGGGGGGGGGAGCAGAAGCTAGGTACTGGTGCCTTAACGATCCCCCCGAAACGGGCCGCGTTTTGCCAGGTAATCCGGTGAAACAAGGGTTAAATTAAAGCCAGCCGTTAAGGACTGGGCGAGTTGTTGTGCTGGCAAACCTCCAAAAACCCTGAATGCCGCTGTTCTGACTGGCCCTGTTCCAATTTCGCGCACCCCAGCTGGTCCGGGAGATAAGGGCAGCCGACGCTCCCTGTATCTCCGCTGCCTCTCGCAGGCTCTCTCGGCAAATTTTTATGTTATTTTTTAAAACGATACTCTCACCACCTCCTCACGCGACGCCTGTGGGAACAGCGATCTGCCGGCTGCTCGGAGCCTCGAGCCAAGGCTGAAAGGAAAAAAGCCTCCCTGTGAGTTTCTAATTGAATTGTAAATTTAGCAGAGGGTTTTAGGTCTAATTGTCAATCTTTGTCAGGAGCTAATTTGCTAGCTGCTAACGGGCTTCGAGACTGAGTCAAAACTGGGGTCACGCCCAAGGGAAGGGTGTGGCCAAAGTTTTTACCCAGTCTGCCGGGCAGGAAGGCTGTCATAGAACCCAACCATTGGACTCTACAGCCATCCTGCTGGAGAAATCATGGATTACAAACTTGGTAGATGAAAATGGAGAAATTCAGGGGGAGGAGACCATACAAAGGGGTATCGCTCAAAGATACTATGAAAATTTATATAAAAGTAATGAGGGAAAAAGCACGGAACAGATAATAGAATATTTAGCAAAGGCAGAGTTGCCAAAGATACCGGAGGAAATAAAATCTAAGCTAAATGAGGAAATAAGCATGCTTGAATTAACTAAGGCTATAAATAGACAAAAGATTAATAAGGCGACAGGTCCAGATGGAATACCTGCAGAATTATATAAAGAGTTACAAAATGTGTTTAATCAATACCTGTTAGAGATCTTTAATGCAATACTTACCGAAGCTAAAATACCTAAATCTTGGTTAGAAGCAAATATAATACTGATCCCCAAGGCAGATGCGGAAAAAATATGGATACAAAATTATAGACCCATATCTTTATTGAATTTGGATTATAAAATTTTTGCTTCAATAATGGCGGAGAGATTCAAAAAGTATCTAATTGATTTTATACACCCAGATCAAAACGGCTTTTTACCAAACAGGCAAATTAAACAGAATATGAGAACAATCTTAGATATCTTTGAATTTTATGAATTTCACAACGATCGGCAAGTGGCACTACTGTTCCTTGATGCACAGAAGGCTTTTAATAACGTTAATTGGCAATTTATGATACAACAATTAAAAATAATGGAAGCCAGAGGGAATTTTTTAAATGTAATAAATGCAATATATTTCGAACAACACGCGCAGATTATAGTGAACGGGGTGGCCACTGATAGATTTAATATACAGTAAGGTACTAGACAGGGATGTCCCCTCTCGCCATTGCTGTTTATTTATACTCTAGAAATTCTTGCTAGAGCGGTAAGGCAAGAAGAACAGATTAGAGGATTTAAGATTAAGAGAGAAACATATAAACTTCAGGTTTATGCAGATGATATAGTATTTATTATGGCAGACCCAGAATATTCCGGGCAGAAATTATTTGAAATTTTGGAAGTTTATGGAGAATATGCAGGTTTAAAAATAAATAAAAATAAAACAAAGATTATTACTAAAAATATGACTAATATACAAAAAGGATCTCTCGAGAATAAATTAGTTATACAAAGTTTCTAAATTTAAATATTTAGGGATAGTTATTTCTGCACGTTGCTCTTCAGTCAAAGAAGATAATTATGTTAAATTAATACAAAAAATTAAAGTTGATTTAGAGCATTGGAGAAATTTACATCTTTCATTACTGGGGAGAATTGCTGCTATAAAAATGAATATTCTACCTAAACTGATATTTTTGTTCCAGAATATTTCAATTTATTTGGATAAGAAATTTTTTAAAGAGTTAACTAAAATAACTTTAGAATTTGTATGGTCTGGTCAGAAGGCTAGAATAAAATTGAAGGCACTACAAGATGCTAAGGAAAGGGGAGGTCTAGGCTTCCCTGACTGGGAATTATATTACCTAGCTGCGGCCTTATCTTGGACTAGCGATTGGATAACTTTAGAGAATCATAGATGTATACAGCTAGAGGGTTTTGATCTTCAACAGGGATGGCATGCTCATATGTGGAAGGAGCAAAGCAGAAACTATCAATATTTTTTAAAGCACAAAAGTGCGGCAAGGGTTAATTAAAAGTTGGAATACAGTTAAATCACAATACTATGCAAAGATCCCGATTTGGTTTTCTCCATCGGAGGCAGTTATACACCCCAACTTGCTTAGGAAAGATAAGGTTATTAGATACAAAGATATTTTGACGGAAGAGGGTCTTTTAAAATCTAGACAAGAGTTAAGACAACAAGGAATAGAGATAGAGTGGTGGTCTTATCTCCAGATCCAAGCAAGATATTCGAAAGATAAACATGATTGGGGTATTTATAGACAAGATACGGGACTAGATAAAATTTTGCTTGGTCCGAAGAAAAAACAAATAAAGAATATTTATAAACATTTATTGGAACATAAGTTATTTGAAGAACAAGTTAAAGAAACAATGGTGACATGGGCGACGGATTTAGGACATATTAATTTGGATCAGTGGCAACAGGTATGGATGCGAAACAATAAAATTACATTGGCGTCATCCTATAAAGAAAATTCGTATAAGATGATTTATAGATGGCATCTCCCTCCAGCAAGACTAGCCAAAATGTATAAAGGATACTCAGCCTTATGTTGGAAATGTAAAAAAGAAAGGGGCACTTTTTTTCATGTGTGGTGGTCATGTAAGGAAACACAGGGGTATTGACGTATGGTTTGGAAATGGGTAACAGAAATGAGCATACAAAATATTCAATATAAGCCTGAGACATTTTTGTTAGGAATTGTTGAAGAAAATGTTAGTAAAGAGGATATGTATTTATTTATTCACGTGGTTACAGCGGCAAAATAGTATTCGCTCAGAATTGGAAAAATACAGCTGTACCTAGTGAGGAAATTTTAATTTGTAAAATTATGCATTGCGCAGAATTAGATAAGTTAACTAAAAGACTCAAAAATCAGGATGTTATGGATTTTTACCAAATATGGAATAAATTTTATAAATGGTGGGGGAAAAAATTTGGAGGTCACTGTGATGGGATAAGTTAAGATTGAGTTTAGAGTGATGTTTTTGTATAGAATTTAATTAATTATGAATAGGAATGAACTGAGATGTTGGTCAAGTCTGATTTACCATGTTCAATGTTTTTAAACTTTTTCTTTTTTTATTTAATAAAAATTTTTTTAAAAGAGACAGCAGCTTCAAAATCTATGTAATTATTGAAAAGTTGCAAACTCACATGTATGGATTTCTGAACTGTGCAATGCTTTCTAATCTTGATCTTTTGCTAGTTTTGATTTTAATGCATTAAAAAGTTCAGTTTGTAACTGTACTTAATGATGAAGGATCTACATCTTATATGGCTTTACTACAACTGTGAGAAACACTAAGTACTGTATAACATTCAATTGGGTGCAGTGAATGATCTAGCTCAGGGCTGAGCAACCAGTTTTTAGCTTGGAGACATTTTTTCAAGGGAAGATTAACTAAGCAATTCATCAATTGTAAGAAAATCCATCAATTGTTAGAATTTCATTAACCCTTCCCACAAAATTTAAGTGAAATATATAATGGCAAACTAAAAAAAGAGAGAACTTAATTTGTAAAGTTAGAGTAGCAACAACCTTTTAACTTGAATTAGCTCAAATGTTGGCTTATTATAATATGATTGTATTAGGCATGCTGCAGACAAAATCATATTTTAACAAACCAATGAATAGTTAAAAAAAAATCCTTATTCCAAGCATTATGCTGGTTTCAAACCAGAGAAATATTCCCTGTCTACAACAGGGAAGAAGTCATTATAGGTACTTACTGACATTATACCTATCTATAGATATAAGCCTTGACTGAGAGCAACAGAATGTTTTGGCTGTGATAAAATACTCCCACCTAATGTACACAGATGAGAAATGCAAGAAAAAGCTACTAAGCGGTTCTCAGACATATGTGTTTATCTAATTCCAACCCCCCCCCCCATTCTGCCTAAAGAATAGCAATTCCTTCCCATGATCAACTAGGGCATTCCTAATATTTGTCACCACAAAATGGAGTTCCCAAGGAAGAGATAATTTCAACTGCTTTTACTTAAAGCATCCTAGTCAATTTCTCCCAACAATGTGTACAGGATTTCAGGAGAAATGAACTTTTCTTCAAGTTGCAAGCAAATTCGACCACGAGGTAGGTTCATGCTAGCCAATTCTTTCAGGGTATTTATTTATCAAAATTATATAGTCACCCATCTCACAAGAAGCATCTCTGGGAAGCTTGCAACAAAGATCTAAAATAATTAAACATGTTAAAATAATCATTATTAAAAATGTTTTAAAAGCATATGGCACAAATGAAGTTAGACTAGCAAGGGAACCACCAAAAGATCTCAGTAGTCCCTAGTCCCCCAGCTTTGATGACAAAGCTAGGTCTTTAAAGACCACTGGAAAGTAAGTAAGGATGGAGCTGATCTCATTTTGGGAGGGAGGGGGAAGAGGAGAATATTCTATAAGGTAGGTACCAATCAGAAGGCCCACCTCCTGGGATCTGCCAAATATAATTCTCTAATAGACGGGACCTGCGGCGTGGCTCTTCTGCTGGATCTGATGGGATGAGGTGGTGTAATTAGGGAAAGGCGATCCCTCAGATAACCCAGCCCCTATGTCATGAAAGGCTTTAAAGGTCAAAAACAGCATCTTGAATTGGACCCGGAAACAGATTGGCAACGAATGCAGCTCGCGGAGCAGACATCTTACATGAGCTGTTCTAGAAGCACCATCCTGTTGCATTTTGCATCTGCTGAAGCTTCCAGATATTTTTCAACGACATCCCCACATTATAGTAATCCAATCAGGAGGTAACTGGGGCATGAGTGACTGTGAGGAGAGCCCTCTGATCCAGGAATAGGTGCAGCTGACACCTAACATTGAACTGTGCAAAGCCCTCCCTTACCCATGACCACCACTGCTCATTGAGCAGGAGTCATGAGATCAGGAGGCCCCTTAGATTGCTCATTGGGTCTGTTTGGAGCAATGAAAGCCAATCCAGCACCAAAGATAGTATTTTATTCATTAGACTTTTATCCCGTCTTTATTACTTTATAAGTAACTCAAGGCGGAGAACGCTATGAAGATTCTCAGTCATCCGGGTCATGGTTGTCAAAAAGCCATCCGGGTCATGGTTGTCAAAAAGCATCTTTGGGACATACATACTACTCTTTCCTTCTATTTTTCTCACAATAGCAGTCCTATGAGATGGTGGGGCTGAGAGAATGACTGGCCCAAAGTCACCCAGTTCTGGAATCGGCAGACCACAAAACCTGCTATTCAGTCATTTCCAGGGCTCAATTGAAACCTGTTGTTCCCATTCAGAGCCTTACAGCTTCCAGACATCAGGGCAAACATTCACAGCATCGCTTAAGTCATTAAGGAAAGAGATATAGAATTGATAAATATATATGATCAGTATGCTGAAGATACCTCATTCTATGGGAATGGATGAGATTGCCCAGCAGCCTCATATAGGTATTGAACAGGAACGGAGACCGGGCCTAACCATGCGGCACCCAACATACAATAATAGGGGCTGAGGGTGGGATCTCTCTTTCCCAATAATCACCAGTTGGAATCGACCTTGAAACAGGCAAACCAGTACAACAGGGCTGCTCATGCTCAATCCTGCTCACCCAAAAGCCATTTTCAACCCATACTCAGGTCTGAATTCTGACCAAAAAGAATCCTGATAATCCACTTCATCGAGTTTGGAAGTTCTCAACCAACTTCTCAACCACTTTCATCAGAACATGGAAGTTATCCTGGGTAAAAGTTATCCAGTATTCTGGAGTCCAGCAATGGCTTCTTAAAGAGGGGGTAAACCAAGGCCTCTTTTAGAATAGGAACCTCTCACTCCAGCAAGAATTCACCACAAGAATCCACTCACACGATGCTCGCCCTCCCCAAGCTTTCCTAACAAGCCAGGAGAGACACCGATCTAAGGAGCAGGTGGCTGAATTCACAATCCCAGACACCCTGTGCACTTCCTCAGATCCAAGAGGTTTAAAGCATTTCCAGATAATTAGGCAAGATTTCTCCCTAGGCCTCTCCTCCAAACCTGCAACAACGCTGGCATCGAACCCCAAGCAAATTCAAGTGACTTTCTTCAATAGATGCTGAAAAAAATTCCTTTGCACAGCCTTGCAGGTCATTCTCCAACCACCCTATATATAAGAAGGCACATGTCACCTGAAACAGAGCCAACTTTCCACAGATAGGGTGGCAAAGTAGATGTTTTGCCACTCTTACTGCCACAAGGTAGGCCTTGATAATGGCTCTAAACCATATTTGGTTAAGTTCACCTTTTGTGAGCATCTAGATCAGGGGTCTCCAACTCCCAGTCCCTGCACTGGCACTGGGCTGCGGCATGCCAGCAACCGGGCCATGCAAACAAGTGAAGCCCCATCCGCGGGATGCAGGCAGCACACAAAACCACGCCCTCTCCGGTCCATGGAAAAATCTCTCTCCACATAATTGGTCCCTGGTGCCCAAAAGGTTGGGGGCCTCTGCTCTAGATGTCTCTTTTTCAAATTCTTCAACTCTGCGAATGGGAGACATTGCATGGATGTGATCCGATCTAAAGATCAGCTGCACCCCATTCCAGGCAGTGACCAAGGCTTCAGATGGACTGTGCAGCAGGCCAACAGGAACAGCCCCCAACTCCTTCTGAAACTCATCCAGGCTCATCAGTCACCAGGGATGGATGAATCAAATGGGTCAAAAGCCTCCCTGCAGTGGACAGTGGTGCTAGAGAACTCCATGGTCACTAGGGGTTGATTTGATCCTGACAAGGGAGATTCCAAAAACTCCCCCAATTTCAGAACATATAGCCACTGCTCCGATAGGATCACCAGATCCAGTGTGTGCGGCCACTGACATTTACATTCGACCCTCATCCAATTCAGCTAGTATTTTTCTTCCTGATATTTTCCAATCTACAACTTTAGGCACTGGTTCCCAACAACAAATAATTATATACAATATAAAGAATCAAAAGTATCACTGCATATACTGAACTGTTTAAAATACCAATTAAATTAATTCAAATGGATCAATCGATGGGAACGTCAAGAAGAAAAAAATCAGAAAGCTGAGATTGAACACGATTCTTTAGCTTGTTAAAATTCATTTTAAAATTGACATTCTCTTGTACTTCTTTCATATGATAGAAGAACATAGCTACTGGAGAATGCATATTCAATCCAAGTTATTACTTTCATGCAAGAATCAATCAATCCCCAAATGCATAATTGTAGGCATGAAGGAGTATAGTTGCTGCTTGCCTCACGTTCTGCATGTGCATTCTCTTTCTAACCCTTCAACAACTCTTCTGATGTGTTTGTACACATAACTGTACACACCAGAGATAAAATACTTTTATACTCCAGGCATCTGATAAAGTGGGCTGTGATCCAGAAAAGATGAGCAGTCATAGATGTGTTTGCTTTTCAAGTGCCACAAGTCTGTTATTTCTGTTGCATTCTACCAGAAACTGCATTACAATAGTTTTCAAAAGTAAAAGATACAGTAAAATAATGCAGCAAAAAATAGGAGAAAGAAGTCAGTGTCTTAAAGACAATTTCTAAAATACAGGTGAGGTTCAATAATTATATCTTATACTAGAGCAGACATGTCAAACTCGTTGTCTGCTTGTCTGCAGACATGTCAAACTCGTTGACGTCGCACAACCTACCGGGGCAGATGTGTTCGGCCCATGGGCCGGCAGTTTGACATCCCTGTACTAGAGTACTTATCCAGGCTGCTCATTATTGCTATTTTGATTCACAGTAGCTCTTCAAGGTTTCAGAGATCTTTCCCCTTATTTCCTATTATTTTTTTTCTTTAGTTGAGAAGCCAGATAATAAACTTGGGGTCTTCTGCATGCAAATCAGGTATTCTATCCAGAGTCATTTTAATAGCACCATTAAGGCTGTAAATGTAGATACCCTATGGTGATATAGCCCAGATACCCTGCATTAGTATGTCTTCCAAAATGAATGCATTCAGATTGGCGGCTTATCTGTCAGAACAGGGTAGTAAATGATGACATCTACTTCAGCACATCATCTAGTGTGATCTGAATGTCCAAGAGGATCAATATGTATGTCTCATGGAAAGCAGCTCATGATATCCAGGCACTATGCCTAATGTTTATACAAGAAGTACAGTGATCCCTGTGGAAGTGGCTAACGGGATGGTCAATTGGCTGTTCTGCTATTCTTTCATTAACTGAGACATTCCTACGTACATTTTCTTCAGTGTCCTGCTTTTCCAGTAAAATGCACAAACAGGAGAGTTAAAATACCTCAAAATATTTTGCAATCTCAGATAATCAATTCAAATCATCTATGCTAACAAGTTTTAAATCATTTTAAATGTATAATACTCAGATTGGTGATTTTAGCCACTTAATAGATGTCAATTTAGTCCTATATATTTTACATTATGAAGACTTACATTTAAGCTCTGGCAGTGTCACAAATCTGCCTCACATTGAAATTAAGTTCACCATACCGTACCATACCATACCCCATACCATACCATTCCACACCACTATACCATACCATACCCACCCCAACACCACATCGTATCACTATACCATATTTTGGATCTCAGCTAAAAGTTGCACATGGCTATTATAATTTTTACTTTCATTACCAAATATACAGAAAAAAAGCACCAAAGTAAAAACAGTACAAAACTTGATTCTGGTATAAATATGAGGTCTATTGAAACAGCTTTACTTTCATTGCTGAATTATCCAGATAATATGTCCACTGAAAAGTAATTTAAGTATTCTAGTGTACTTGATCATTAAATCAAGACCTTGGCTGTTAAGTACTGTGTATCAATGGAGTCAGGTAAAAGTCTGATATTTGGAACGTCACTTCTTTCTTTTTCTCATTTTTTTGAGACCACCCATTTCACTGTCTGAAGATGGCTGAAGAAAAAGGATGCAATGTTCAGTTACCAACTATGAATTATCTTCTTCCAGAGCACATCAAGATGTTTGTCATACAAACCTAACACGTTCCCCATTACATTGGTCCAAACTGTGCTTTCAGCTCTGATGGGAAAGATATTATTTATATTATTCAGAGCAAGATGGTATTCAAGCAAAACTCACAGAATTAGTCCACTGTGTATTGTGGCATTCAAATCTTGAGATGTCTGTTGATATGTCAAAATATTACTAGTATATGACAGTCTCTTTTCTGTGAACTTATTCCAATAGGTTTGGGTGTTCAATCCAAGTAATCATCCAGTCTGGCTTCACACCCTGTGTGAATTCTCTTCGAAACCTTTAGAGAAAACAAAGTAAAATAAAGAAGAGACAGTTGCATAAGTCAAGCAACAAACCCTTTGTGAGTGGCCTTTATATTACAATTACAAATGTAATATTAAGTGGTGAACAAACATAATATTAAAAATAGTTTTAGACTTGGCTGCCAAATCTCTCAGATAAGACTGAAATCTGACTTAAATTGACAAAGCAAGTAACATAGCAGAAGATTTCAAGAACATCTTAATAGTTGCATCTATTAATACTTCTATTTATAAATGAACATTAACGAAATCTGGAGGTTCATGCAAGTCATATAATTAGATTGAAGGCAGAAGGCATATTGAGCATACATATGAACTAGAAGCCCTTAGGCTCTTCCAGTAATTAATGTTGGAAGCTTTATTATGTTGACATAGAAAATGCTATGCAAATGGAACAACTAATTATCCAAAGTACTTGTTCTCATTGTCAACACTCATAACTGATTTTTTTATTTATTGCATCCCTTAATATAATAATTTAAAAAAGCAGAGATGACTAGATTAGACCCAAACATTCAATTGGAATCAGAAAAAAACTATAGGAATGAACCAAAATATTTCTGTCATTCTGACATTTCTTTAGTACTTGTATACACTTACTGTACATTGTCCTTCAAGAACTGTTTTCTGCTAGAGTGTCTTTTAATTTTAGAATCACCTGAGGGTTTATCTCTTTTGGCTTTGATTGTTCTATGCAAAGTCCCTTATATTTTCAAAATTGTCTCCAAAAACCATAAGAAAACATGATAACTTGAAACCTTGAGCTTAAAAAATGGAAGCTAATATAACTAAGCACATTAATGCAAAAAAATAAACAACCCACCCAATTGTGATCACTACAAAAAATTACAAGAGAATATTTTTAAATGATACAAGATTCTGAAGTTTATGTGTTTTAACCATAACCAACAGAAAATTATTGGGGAAAAATGGAAATGACATAGACCCCTATTCATTTTCATTTTTCAGTTCATAGATCTGAAAATCTACATAATCTTCTGCTTAAGAACCATCCTCTCTAAACATCTGCTTCCCATTTACTAGCAGCTAAGGAGAACAGTATTCTTAACTGCCTTATTAAAAGCCACCCTCATATTAGGATTTATGTGTTTGAATGCTGCTCTAGCTTCCATCTCTCTTGAATAGGCACCTCAGCCACATGTTCTGCAGATGTGTTGGACATTAATTCCCATAAATTATGCAAGAAAGAGAATGTAAGAGAGAATCTCACAAAGTATAACTAGAGCCAGTGTAGAGCTACACCAATACAGTCCTCCAATATACATGCTTATTTTGTTCTCTAATATATGAATGAAAAAATGTGAAGAAAATGTTTTGCAGTTGGAAATCTTATATGGTAAAACTAGATACAAAGTGGTATGTTTTTTCTTGAAAAGCATCTCGACAAATGTCTACATTTGATCCACCAAAATGGCTTTTAGCCTCTCATGCACTCCCCAAACTTGCTTCAAAGAGTCTTTGCTCCACAAATATGCAAATATCTTTAGGAAGAAGCAGAAATCTTGCCCGCACAGCCTCTCTTCTGGTGGTGGATGAAAACAGTCAGACAAGATTGATTCTTGCAAGACTAACTTCTATTATTTTTACAATAGAAGAGTGGAAAAATATTTTGGACATTATTTTAAAAGCAGTAAAAGTAATAGAAATGTGGCAATGTATTTATTTATTAAAATATTGTTATCCTGCTGCCCAATCAAATATTCTGGGTGGACTACAAACAATATAAAAGAGGTATCCTATAATCACTCCATTCAAAACTCTTTATTATATATTATCTTGTTACAGTATTAACTCTTTTTTCATTTTATAAACCAATTCCATTTGTTTAGATACCTATCTTTCAGGCTAAAATAAACTTATCAGACAGAAAAATTGTCTAATAAGCTGATTAATATATATATAAATTCTCCTTTATAAGCTGATTATAAACCTTTGCCTTTCTGAAAGACCAACTTAATAGCTATCGTTGGCTTCCTAGGTCATTTTGTTCATACTGTACTGCTTATGTTCTTTATTCCCTTCAACACTGACCTTCCAATAAATCCATTTTTTCCCCTTTAAGTTACAGGCAGGCATATTGCTTAAGACAGTGGTGGCGAACCTATGGCATGGGTGCCAGAGGCGGCACTCAGAGCCCTCTCTGTGGGCATGCGCATCGTCGCCCCAGTCCTAGGCCTTCAGCTGGGGTTTTATAAAAGCTTTTCATTTTAGGCCTCCGCCGCCACGTACAAAAAAAAAAAAAGGTTCAATCAATCAGGCAATTTCAACTTCTCGTGGGAAAAAAAAAAAAGATCTTGCAAATTTGGAATTGATTGATTGAACTTTTTAGTCCCACCCAGTCTGCTGTTACCACCACAGCGACGCCCACCCAATGGGCCACACCCACCCAATGGGCCACACCCACCCTGCACCTGACGATGCATAAGTGGGTTTTGGGTTGCAGTTTGGGCACTCGGTCTCTAAAAGGTTCGCCATCACTGGCTTAAGATGTAACAACATCACTTATATACTACAGAACTAACTTTTTTTAAAAGTACACTGATTCAACTGAAGTTTCGCCATACCCAAAAAACAAAACCACAGTCAGATAGAAAACCAATGACTGACTTACTCGTAGTTTGCTAATAAAAGATGTCTTCTTTTTGGTGTGCTTTCACCTCTAAGCGCAATCTGGAATACTTTGGCTCCTTCTGGAGTCTTATCAGGGATATCAGCACTGCTCAGATACCAGAAGGACATCAGGATACTAACAAACTTCCTGCCTGTTTGTGGGGCAAGATAGATTTGGAAATAGAAAAAGACATTTTATATGAAGAAACACAAAAGAACATATCTCTCTCTCTCTAACACACACACACACACACACACACACACAAAACTATTGTGGAAAAACTATTTGTGAGGATAGCAGTGGCTCCAAAGCTTCTTTCAGAGACAAAGCATGAATTACCATATACTTAGTTTATGTATCAGTCAAATTCAAAATTTACTTGTCCACAGTTTCCTGAATATATAACAACATACATGACAAGCAGAATGCAGACTAACAATATTATAAGCTAACACAATGCAAAAAAACAGGCAGAATTCTGTGGGGGTTTTTGTATGAGATTCTTCAGCCATTACCTACTCATAGTTTTTTTTTTGTAATATATTTTATTGATTTTTTAAAACATAAATCACTTAATTGGTGAACAGTGTGTTGTCTGGGTTACATTTGTAAAACAATCATAGTCTCCATCCACCACTAGGTGTCAGCAACTATTTGTTTTTCAATTTCCAAAATGAACAATTATCTTTAGAATGAGAGTCTGAACCATTCAAACAATTTTAGATTTATCCAGATTTAAGTTTTACATTTCAGGTTTTATATTTATTTCACTTCCATAAAAAGATTAATTCGTCACTTCCGTTAGTATAAAGGTGGGGTGGAAATCCCTCTCCTTCCCTTTGCTTCTTGGGGATCTTTTCCAGGAAATTAAATGTAGAATAGAAAAGAGAAGATCGAATTTCTCACTCAGTTTGAAGCACGCTGTTCAGTTGTGCTGGTTAGTGCTTTTGGACTATGGTTGCAAGTAGCTTGGGCTGGTTGATGCAATACGGCCAGCCTTTCTCCTGTCGGGTTAGAAGGTTTTCCCCAAGTTGAACAGAACGGCCGCTGCGGTTCCAGAATCGCTGGAGCACCCTTCTTTCTTTGTCTCTCTGGGGTGACTTAGACCCATTTAGGGTACCCAGGCAGGGCGAAATTAGCCACGGGGGTGCGGAAAATCCGCAAGCCCACAACCGGTCTCTACCGCGCAGTACTGGAAGTCCTACCTGCTCATAGTTAAGCTGGTTCTCAAATATCTCAGGATCCCTTTACATTTTAAAAAATGATTGAGGTTTGTGTGGGTTATGTCTACCATTAGTTACTGTAGTAGAAATTAAAACTGAAAATTCTAAAAAAAATATTTGACTTCATGGGCTCTCTGAAAGGGTCTCAGGAACCTCCAGGGATTCCTAGATCACATTTTCAGTGCCATTTAAAAAATAATAACTACTTGATTTTACTTTGGTGCAAAAGATTGCCGGCACAATAAAATATATATAAAACCAGAAACAAGTAAAAGTAGCAGACAGGTGCTCAACATGAACTCTATAATTAAACAGAAAAGAAAATTTAAGCACTATTTTAAAAGACTGAGGATTGCTTCTGTGTTTTATAAGGAATGTGAAATAGAATGGAGACATACCACTGTCATCATAGTAAATGCCCACATCTCCTGCTGCTGTGAACATAATTTCATCCATCTCCGCAGCCAGAGCTTTTCTGTGGTTTTCAGACAATGAAGAAATCTTCTCTTTTAACACCTGAATCATCTGGATTGGAAATGGAATTGTTAACATTAGTACATTAATTTCCTTACACTAATTCACTTAATCAGCCATATAATAGTTATATAAGATAGTTATTGAAAACTATGCTGCCATTTCTCCCTGCCACTTCAAAAGTCAAGTATTTTTTAAACATCAGTTTAATTATTACATATTCTGCTTATGGTTGCTCTCCTTTGTGTGAATTCTAAGACTCCCATTTAATATAGAAACAAGTAATTGGGGAATGGAGCAATGAGTGGCTGTTGTAGACATTACTTAATGAGGGGAATAGTCTTTTATACAGGTAGTCCTCCACTTACAAGTATTTGTTTAGTGACCATTCTAAGTTATAATGGCACTGAAAAAAGTTATTTATGACTGGTTTCTACACTTACGTTGCAGTATCCCCATTTTCATGTGATCAGAATTTGGGCACTTGGTAACTGGCATCTTTTTATAGCAGTTGCACTATCCCAGGGTCACGCAATCACCTTTTGTGACCTTCTGACAAGCAAAATCAATGGGGAAGCCAGTTTCACTTAATATGTTACTAACTTAACAATTCATTTAACTCGTGGCAAAAAGAGATTGTAAAATGGGACACGACTTACTTAAAAACTGTTTTGGTTAGCAACAGAAATTCTGGGCACAACTGTAGTTGTAAGTCAAGGATTACCTGTGTATCCTTAAAGGCACCGTTATAAAACATTTAAGAGTTTTATTAGACTTAGTCTTCTTTCTGAAAGCCGTTCAAAGCTGATGATGTGGAAAACCGACGCCAGTAAGATCTGCTAAGCCAGGGGTCCCCAACCCCGGTCTGTGGACCGGTACCGGGCCGCAGCATGGCAGCAATCGGTCTGCACAAACACGCAAAGCCCCATCTGTGGGATGCAGGCAGCACACAAAATCATGCATTCTCCAGTCCATGGAAAAACCTCTCTCCACAGAACTCGTCCCTGGTGCTCAAAAGGTTGAGGACCTTTGTGCTAAGCATTCCACCACTGAGAGAAACTCATGCCCACACTCTTTTGGAAAGCCTTGGATATTCAGACCATCCCTTCCTTACTAAAAGTTATTATATTACTAAAAGTTATTATATTAAAACTAGAGGGAATTCTGTTTCTGGAAATAAAGTGGCATGAATGTTGTTAATAATAAATTCTTTAAATAAACTAAACTTCTAGAAATGACAACATAGCTGAAATAGCTAAATTATGAGAAAAACCAAGTTAAAATAAAGAAAATAAACAGTTACTGTGGTTAAATTACATTGAAGCCATAACGGGAAGACAGAACCTAATTGTTGCCTTTTTTAGAAAGTCAAATGTGAATTGTCAGAGTTTTTGGGAATGAAAAGTTATCAGTTTAGATGCAATCTGCTTACTCTACTTTAGGAACAGAATATAAGTATAAATCCAAATTGTTTCTTCCACTTTTAATTAACTTAAGGCAATGTTCTCCATTCTCATGGTCTCCAAATACACTGAACTTCAGTGCTTAAAATTTCTAACCAACATGGCCAAATGTAGGAGCTGACATCTAACAAATCCAGGAGCACTATGTTGTGAAAAACTGGCTAATGCTGTCCTCTGTAAAAAAGAAATGTTCAGTTCAAGGAATAGCGAGGAGAATCTTGTTTTTCGCATATGAGAGATATTAAATATTTTACCTCTTTTGATACAAGCTCTTCCAATACATCGTATTTACACTGAGAAATTAACCTTGAAACAACAGTAAAGGCCTAGAAAAAAGAGAAGAACTCTACTTTAATTAAGACTTTGCAGGTCAACTACATTAATGTACTTATAATGAAAACATTCTTTTTAGCCTTTCAACTGATAAAGTATTCTCAATATGAAATGCAGAATCCGATAAAGATGCAGATTGTATTGCCTAGAACGCAATGCAGTGCTGTCTTTGTGCATATTTAAAAAGTAAATAGTTTAGGTTCAATTAATGCGAAATACAGAAGGGCAGGACCTTGTGATTTTATTAAACTAAAATTGATGGAGTAGAAAGAAGACGATCCACAGGCAGAGCAAGAGGACAAGAGCGCTCCGCTATTGTACAGCCATAAAACACCATCTCATTAAGCAGCCATTGCTAAACTAACCCCAAAGCTTCCTCGGAGAGGTCTTAAAAAACTAATGAAAGGAGAGGGAAAAAACCCGCCCTTCTTTTTTATACATAACAACCCGAAATGCTCAACAAACGACTCACGTGCTTCGCCCCTTGCATGAACTCCTGAATGCTGAAGTCGCGGTCAAAGTAGGTGCGGATGAGGAAGAAGTAGAGGCGAGTGCGGAGCCACCTCAAGGGGTTGGGGAACCCCAAGAACACCGCCCGCTCCTCCGACCTGGAGTCACCGGGGCCGCTGCTATAAAAGCGCGCGGAGGGCAGCAGCAGAAACGGACAGCGGCCAGAGGGAGCCAAGAGTTGCCCGACCCCTCCGCGCCGGGCGGTTGAAGCGGAGGAGGTTCTCGGGAGGGCGGGGAGCCCCCGCAGCTGCCAGCAGCAGCGCCTGCAGAGGACTCCCCGGGTCAGCCCCATAACTCCCCGCCTCGGCACTCCCCTCGTGCCGCGGCGACGGAAGAGATGCGGGGGGATCGGAAGGCTGCGGACAGGTTTCCTTTGAGGCGAAGGAATGGGCCTCTCGAGGAGGGTCTCGGGCCTGCAGGAGGGCGGGGGGGGGCGTCTCGCTCCGCCCTTAAGTTAGAGCAGGAGCGAAACTCTCCTCGCGGTCTCTCCCCCCCCCAACCCCCCACCCCTCGGCGGTGCTGGGCGTCCTCAAAGCATGATTGGCGTCTTTTGGTTTTGCGAGGCCTCGTTTCCAGCGGAGGGAAGTCGCCGCCGGACCCAAAGGAGGAAGTGACCGAGCGGCGGTTGCTTAGATTTGAGCGGAGACATGGAGAGGCAGCGAGTCCCGCAATACACCGGAGTGACTCGGGAGCGGTTTTTGCAGGACATCTATCCCTTGGTGGGTGAAACCCGGAGGTTCAAACGCTCCCTCCCTTTTAAAAAAAATAATAATAACGTGGCAAAGAAAGGCATGGTACAGAGAACCAGTGTGGTGTAGTAAGGTGCTGGCCTAAAAAACGGGGCTGTTCTAGGGAGGTCTCTCTTAGCGCAATCCACTTCATAGGGTGGTTGTTATGGGAAAAATAGGCAGGAATAATTGGTATAAGTAAAAATTAAAAGGGACGAAAAATTATTAATAAAAACAATTCTGTATACAGTACTCAGATGGGTCCTTTGTTTCTTGGACTTCAGCAAAAAAATAACGTTCTAATTAATCCTGCGTTTAATTCAGTACTTGCTGTGCTTGATGTGGTTAGTATTTACATCCTAAACCAGTACCAGGTGCACATAAGGCAAGACATATTTTCTTTCTCCAGATAAAATAGGAGATGGACATAATTAACCCTTTCTTTGTTAATTGTCATGTTTGGAATGTTGATTGCAGGTTAATTTTGGTAGCTTATTAAATGCACTTTCAGAAAGTATCTGCCATAGTAGATGTGTTCAGATACAACGTGCCAATTTACCACAAATGAATATTTCCCGGCAGTTTGGCCTCCCAGAATGCTCCTTATCTTATTTTTCTGAGTTTTGTTTCCTGATAACAAGCACACTCCAAGATTCAATTATAGCCAATCAATCACTCTTTTATTTATAAAAAAAAAACTTATGTGTGTAGCACTCAGAACCATTGTTAGAAATTCTGATTATGTTTGATGTTGCTTTATTTTTCAATCTTATGCCTTCTAGAGATGTGCAGAATATTACAGATTTCAACCATGTTGAAGTGACCTGTTTTGAATTTAAAATATTCTGGTTCAAGTATGAAATAAGGCGGGTCAAGCATCATGAATGTGTTTTGAATGTGAAACACTTTCAAACTTAACAATTTTTCAAAGACTTGAAAAGCCCAGGATATATTTCATTCCATCAACTTTGTCTTTTAATATATTGAAGTAATATATATGCATTTTAAATAGTCGTTTTGAGTTTTGCCTTTAATATTTAGATTTGCTGCTATGTTCTTTTAAGTATTTTGTTTCCTGTCTCTTACAGATTTATTGAAAAGCAAAATCTAAAGTATTGACTTGAACCTATAAGGTTCAGTGAACTGTGTCTAGATATATTATTTAGAAATCAGTTACAATTTGTGGGACTTGCTTCAAAGTAGTTGTGCGAAGAATTAGACTGCAAAGCTTTATAAAATGTAGATTAATCCAGTACTGTGTTGTAGAGTGTTCATTACAGTACTGCTTATCCTGCCATTAGAATAAAGATTAATATGATGTATTTCACTAAAGCATACTCTGTTAGAAAAATAATAAAAGTTAGAAATACAGATGATCTTTGTATTGGTTACACAATTTTCAAAGAAAAGATATGATTTTCTTAGGTTTGGATAGTTGGGAGTAATAGATATCATACCCTTTTGTTTGTTTGTTTCTAATAGCAAAATGATGACATGTTATTCAATAACTTTTTTTCATTCTCAGAGAAAGCCTGCAGTACTGAAAGGAATAAATCTGGGCCCTTGTGTGACCAAATGGACAGTAGATTACCTTTGCCAAGCATCAGGAAAAAAAGAAGTAAAGGTTCACGTTTCTGCTGTGCCACAGATGAACTTCCTTAGTAAGAACTTTATATATAGGTATTCTGTTCCAAGCTTTACTCTGTTTCTGTAAGTGGGAAGTGATAGCAACTCAGATGTTGCTGTTCTGGTTAGATGTAGACTTGTCTCATGCCATGCTTAGCTCAAAACAAACTAGAGATGTGCTGAAGAAGAACCAGCAGCTATAGAACTATTTGCATTAATAAATCTTATGGCTCACTTAGCTTTTCCAGACCTAGATAGTCAAGATTTCCGTACTGACTTTATGCTGTCAATCCAGCTACATGTTTTCATGATGGCTATGGTTGACAGGCTTTGTGTATATATGTGAATTGTTGAATCTTTTTTCTAAGATCAAATTTTCATATTCTCCCACCTGACTCTTATACAAACTTGTTTTTTCATCACAGTAAATAATTGTAGTGCCTTAACTAATGAACCAAATAAGGTGATGTAATCTTAAAATTCAGTTAATCCAATTATTATTTGTTTATAAAATTCCTACACTGTTTTCTATAGCTGCCTTCTTTGTGCCTCAGTTAGTTACCCATTGCAACTACAATCAGGTCATAGTGTACTCTAGCTTACAGTCAGATTTATCCTCATTAAAAAATGAAAGCAACTCTGTATACTACCACAACTGTAAACGGAAATCATAAGGTGATTTTGGATCAAATAGTTTGGTGGGAGCCTATGTCTGTATGAGAAAATAATTGGAAACAAAGTCATTAGTTTCAACATGAAATGTATTTTACTGAGATTACTCTGATAGTTTTCTGTCATGTGGAAGCAGGGATCCAGCTGTCTCTTCACATATTAGGAATTGTTCTGTTCTAGAAATTTCCAACTATTAAGCTGTGGAAGGGTAAATTATTTTCCCTAGTTCCCGATTTCTCCCCCCCCCCCACGCCCTTAGCATCACCACCTGAATTTTTTGGGAGGTCCACCAATCTTCTAGAAAGCATTTTGAGAGGCAGAGTAGTAGACAGAACAGGGAATTGTTGAAGATTCTATTCCTAATTCTGCTAGAGGACATGCTTCACTAGATAAAAAACCCTTAATTGATTAGAAGAATTGAATCCATTTATATGGCAACCAACATAAATTTACCAGTAATTGACCTGCAGAAAGTTTCAAGCTGATCCAGTAACTGACCTGCAGAAAGTTTCAAGCTGGAAGTCCATTGATGCCCATGGCATTTAAATTCTAGTAAGGATATTAGGTATCAGTGTTAAACAGCTGTTCTTAATTGTACCTTTTTTCTTTTTCAAAGAAGATGTTTTGAGATAGTTATTATTAAAAGTTAGTACCATCTGTTTAAAACATTTTGATAATTTTATTTTGAATTTCAGAACACTGCCTTTTGATGTATTTGTAAAGAGAGCAGCTGAAATCAAGCATTCAGATTATTTTCTTTCTGAGGTAATGTATTATTTGCTTACTAATAGTTTAGTTTGGCTGATTTTTTTTGTGTAGGTTCTTTTTCAGTTATCAAATTACATGGCACTTGATAAGTTAAGTGAATTAAATATTAATGTGCTTATTCTTTGCAATTTATTTTCCATGTGTTTGTATTTTTAAAGGATGAAAAGTATTATTTACGATCGCTAGGAGATGATCCTCGAAAGGTGAGTACATTGTATAAGAAAAAAACTCATCCTAAAAATAGTTCTCCTCTGAGCTATTTTGGATAGCCTTTATATAAATTTTGTCCTTAGTTTGTGCTTTTTTTACTGTGTTTATTTAAAACAGAGAGAGTGGAGAATCATAAAGCTAATAGAGCAAAGGATTGATTAGTGTTATCACTGTTATTTTGCAAATTGTTTGCAAAAAGAATTTTATCCTACCCTACAACTCCCTGACTCATGATTTGGAAAAAGATTTGAAAAAACAGCATTTCATTGTCCTGTTCACTGAAGTTCTGAGCCAAATGTTATCTTGTTTACCCATGTTAACTTCAGCAATTCAGTATTAAAACTGCTCCTAACGTATTCATATCTGTTCTATTTCTTTATGAAATGTATGCCCCAATTTCTTCAGAATCTGGACATGAATGTAGGATTTAAAGTATTTAAAATGAAGCCAAAATATCTGTGCTTATTGTGTATTATTTGAACTTGCTCAGTCCAAATATGGAGAAATTCGATGGCTGGCCTGGAAATGGGCTTGTTCTAAATGTCTTATTAGTAGCCCAAGCTAATCAACATCTCTTGAATAGAAGAGATTTTGCAGTTCATGAGAGAGGAAATTTTAGCATGCTTATGGATCCTTTTGTCTTTCTGTAACATCCTAACAATCATTTTCCTCTTCCAGGGGTTTCAGATGAAATTGGATTCCTACATTGCACTAAGCCAGTGTTTCCCAAACTTGACAATTTTAAGGCATGAGGACTTCAACTCCCAGAATTCCACAGCCAGCAACGCTGGCTGGAATTCTGGGAGTTGAAGTCCACATGCCTTAAAATTGTCAAGTTTGGGAAACACTGCACTAAGCCATAGCATGGTTTGCTTTTGGGTTTATATGCTACGTGAACCTTGCTGTTATGATTTCTAAATGCTGCTTTATAACTTAGCATAATATGTAACTCTAGTCAAGATCAATATTTTTGTTTCAGGATATTGCAGATCTGAGAAAGCAGTTTCCTTTATTGGCAGATGACATTCAAATTCCAGAATACTTTGATAAGGAACAGTTTTTCTCTACTGTCTTCCGAATAAGTTCAGAAGGTCTACAACTTTGGACACACTATGATGTAAATAATACATTCCTAAACACTTATTAATGAAAAATATGCTAAACTCATTTTGACCTTTATGCAAAGAGGGGTTTGTGTTGTTTTCTTGAAAAATATTTAAAAGGAATGCTGTAGGTGTTAAACTAAGTCAGGACTTTTTTTTAATTTTATTCAAATACAAATACTACAAACATAAAACATATACATTTAAATAAAAACAAGTATAAAAAAATACAAATACTACAGTGCATCCACCCCCCTGGAGACCATTTTTATTACCTATATTTCTTCTCATATAACAACAATATACAATATATTTCAATATTGCCCTTATCCCCTCCAAAA